CGGCACCGGCGTCCAGAAAACCCGCTGCGTGCCAAGAAGAGACCAAACCCATTAGAGCCTTCCACACCGATGCGAGGCGGCGGCACCCAGGGAGCCCATCACCCCAGCATCTGGGCTCACGCGCCCCGGTTAAGACCCTCCAAGGGGTTTTGCCAGGGATGGGAGGGCTCTTCTTGTGCCCTGTGCCTCTCTCCCCCCTCGGCAGCGGGGATTTTAGTGCTCTGGTGGGGTGCCGGGTGCTGGCAGAGTATTTAGCAGTTTGCTGATAACCAGGGGAGCTTCCTGCAAGCTAAAAATACAGCCAAGTTCGCTGGAAAAAAATATGACAAAGCAAGCACAGGCTGTGGGCAGAGCTTCCTGCCTCCGGACGGTGCCGGCACCGGCTCGCGGGAAGGTTCCGCAACCCAGACCCGGGAGCCCCCGAGTTATGGCTTGGTGAAGGAGCAAGCTGTCCATGCGTGGTGGTTGGTGGTGGAGCCGTGTTTAACCCTTCCGCCACCAGCCCCGCGGCTTCGGCACGAGCACCCTTCGGGGTGGGAGGGCGAGCGAAGCCGCACGCTTGAGCGTGGCTGGTTTCTACGCCGGAGATAAGCACGCTGCTGACTGTGGCGAAACCCCGGCAAAACAGGGGAGGAACCACTCCCGGCACGATTATATCCCAAAAATCCCCCCTCCCTGGGGGTGAAAACTCTCAGGGGAGCACAGCACCGGTGCAAATCACCGCAGCCCCGCTCTGGCACAGGGCTCACCCTGCTGCTGCTGCGGCTTTACAGGGGCTCCGGCTTCGGTCCCTTCGCAGCATCCCAGGAGCCAAGCAAGGCAGCCGCGAGCGATGGGACCGGTCCATCAGGTCTGGGGAGCAAATGCTTTCGCTGCTGGTTTGTGCCATGCACCGGCGAAACGGCAGCCCGGGCAGGGTGGGGACAACATGCCGCCCCCGCTCTCCTTTGCAAACCAAGGAAGAAACAGCCTCGCCCGTCCTTCCTACGCCGTCAGCTTCCTCCTCCTCCTCCTCCTCCTCCCCAGCCAAAAGGGTTTTTCCTAACCAGCGTAGAATGGCAGGGAGAAAAACACCCCGAGCCCCCTCCAAGTCCTCGGGGGGACACGCTCGTCCCCCGAAGCGTCCCCGGCGTCGAGGTGGTGACGCCAGCCCGCAGAAATGATGACAAACCTGTTTTGCTCTGGGTGGGGAGAGGACGCTGGTCCCAGGGGTTTACCCAGGGCGGGGAGGGGAACCTGCTGGGGAAGGGCCAGGAAAGCCCCCAAAACCAGCCCCCGGGCTGGGGCGGCACCTCGGGCTGCTCCGTCCCATAAAGCGGGTTATCGACCCAGGCTGGGGACGCAGGGACAGTTCACCCTGCGAACGCAAGGCAGGAGCGAGTGTCCCCTGCTGCTCCTAAAGGGTTAATCCAAAAGCTACAACCTTCCCCAAATCGGGGCGGGGGGGGAAATAGATATATATAAAATGTAATTATTTTTTTCCTGGCTCTCTCATCCAGCTCCTTTTGTTCCCAGCCCCGCAGGCTGGGAGATGGAAAGACCTCGCGGCTTCTCCCCCCAAAATCGTTCCCCCTTCCCCC